CCCTATATTTCTGTAGGTCTGAAATATTTCAAATAAAAGTTTTGGTTACAATGATTGCCTCCTCTTTTCTCTTTCCTTTTTTGTCTCACATGTAAGATGATGCAAGAATGTTCAGAGAATAAATGATTGAGTTAGGGGAGCCTTAACCAATCAGTGATTCAACCCCCTGAGAGGGATTGAGTGAGTGGTAAATAAAGTGGTAGGTGTGGCTGGAGGAGGGGGAAATTGAGACATGGCTTTGGGGTATATATTTGTATCAGGTGAGTGGACTCTCTCTCTGCTTCCTCATCACATGAGCCATGTCCCTCTGCCACACTCTTCTGCCATGATGTCCTGCCTCACCTTGAAGTCAAGAAATGGAGGTGGCCTTAGATGAACTAAGACCCATGAAACCATGAGCCCCTAATAAACTTTTCCTCTTCTACAGTTGTTCTGGTTGGGACTTTTAATTAAGACACAGCAGAAAAAAAGCTGACTGAAACAATAACTATGCCCCAACAGCTTATGAGGAAAATTATTTGACAGCCCTGCCTGTATACAGTCCATTTTGTATTGGGCTTATTCAATAATCAAGGGTACAGCAGGATTTGAACCAAGGCTGCTAGGACAAGAGTTCCCAGCATCTATGGTGAGGGGTTAACCTGGGTTTTCACAAGTTAGTCTAGGCAATGAATGTTTCCTATCTATAGGTACAGTAAAACCTTTTGCCCTATTATAGCTAATGAATGAATTGAAATTTTTCAACATTTTCAACAGGAGTTTAGATGCTTTGTGCAACTTATAGTAAATGCAATTTGAAAGAAAAAGAGAAATTTTGAAGTCATAAAATTACAAATGTGATGGCAGAGATTGTTTGGTAAATTTAGACTAGAGGCTGTTTGCTATACCACTTGACTCTTTACCTAAGGAAATTTTTATTATCATTTAAAAAAATGCACATTATGCCTATTTGATGTAATAATATTTCACAAAATTTTGATTTGCATGAAGTCAATACTATAAATAAAACGTATATTCTGCTTCATTTTTCTTTTAAAAATGATATATAGCTCCTCTTCAGCTTATTTAAGTTTCTTGAATATAAAACTTATGTAGCAGGAAAATTAGCATGTTGTGGCAAAACATGATGGCAGATGCCAGAAAAAATTCAGATTTTATGGGCATAGAAGAGAACTCCACATATAGCATGAAAAAAAGACAAACCACAGATTTTCAAACAAGTTGCTAATCTTATCCTCTCTTCATATCCACTTTCTCTGTTTATCCTGACCTGAAATTTTTATGAAGTTCCAGTTTTAGGCTTCATTAAAACAAAGACTGGCAGTAATGCTGAATCCTATCATGCTGTATTACAGGTAAGTTAGGTAGAAAAATGGTCATAAAGGAGTAAAGTAAGAAGAACTCATATTTGAGAAAGATACTCTGAATAACATTTCTAACCGGAAGACCCAGAATGGAAAAGTCAAACCTAAATAAGTGTGCATATGTATATGGAAAGAGAGAGAGAGAAGACAAAGAGAGTTTGGGAGAAGGTTGAGAGACAGAATCAGGAAGGGTGAATGTAGAAAAGTATGCTTCAAATAGACTTGATCTAGAAGGTCAAACTGAAAGCACAACTAGTGACAGACAATAACTGCAGTCATGAACCTCATTACCTTAGTAGTTGAGAAAAATGTTCAAAAACACAAAAAAGTATTTTATGTGCTAGAAAAAAATTGCAAAAGTTAATAAATTTAGGATTTGTGCCTATTAACAAATATAGATATATACAAACACTTTGATTCAAAAAATTTAGAAAAAAAAGTTTAAATGTATATAAAAATAATGAAGCATATGTAGAACTCAGTGATTCAATAAGATGACTGTGTAAATCAAACAAAAAGAACTTTATGTCTCTTTGTTTGTCTGTCTCATATATACTTTAAAAGTGTATTTCTAGTAAATGGACACAATGCCTTCATTTCATTTTTATGTCAACCTGGGGCTCGAACCCATTGCCTCACATGTACCAGGCACACAATCTACCAACTGAGCCACAACCCAAGCCTATTTGATGTAATAGTTGTTAACAAGTGTTATCCTGTAAGAAAAAAGTTAGTGTAATTGTCTAAATGTCAAAAATTACTTTCAGCCATGAAACAATAAATTTCATTCATTGTAAGAAAATAAATTAGTATATATAAAAATTTAATAAAGCCAGGTGCAATGGTGCACATCTGTAATTCCAGCAACTTGGGAGGCTAGGACACGAGGATCACAAGTTCAAGGACAGTCTCAGCAACTTAGTGAGCTCCTCAGCAACTTAGTGAGACACTATTTCAAAATAGAATATAAAAAGAAAAAAATAAAAAACAAAGTAACCAACAAAAAAATGGGGGTATATAGCTCAGTAGTAAAGAAATCCTGGGTTCAATCCAGAGAAACCTACCCAACCCCTGAAATGTATAAGTGTAATGAAAGAATCGATTAATTTCCCGTTACCCATTTCATTGCTGAGGTCATTAAAGCTGGGATGTTGAGAACTCACATAGTTAATAAGTGACTGGTGTAAGATATGAAGTAATCTCCAGTTGTTCCAGAATTAGAAGAGCAAAGTGGTTGATCTGAGCAATTCAGTGAGAGAATAAGCTCTAGCTGCCATTCAAATGTTTTTTTAGAAAAAGAAAGCACATCAGTAGACACACTTTGCTGAATCCCTTCCAATTATTGATCACTGTGTTCAAAATGACTTCAAAATGAAATGTCTTGAACTCATTGAACATTTTCTTTTGCTCTGTTTTTTAAAGGTCAGAAGATGAGGAAGTGTTGATGGGAGTGGTCACCTCTGTTCCATTTGGCATCAACTGGGATCAGCTGATGATGGGAGATCAACTTCTGAGAAGGCATTTTCACTCTAGCACCTTACTTTTCCTGGCTTTTATATCCCTAATGTGGCCTCCCATCATCTAGGTCCCTCCACTTAAGTTGGGTGTGGGTAGCTGCACTTAATATATGGTGACTACTTTACAATAGCCAGGAAATGGACACATCCAGGCCAGTTAAGGCTTATGACCACCTCTGTCACAGTGTCCATTCTGCATATTCTTCATGTCTAGTAAACCCTGGGCCATCAGATACAAGTAAGTACAAAAACATCTTCCACCTCTTGATATGAGAATTGTAAGGACTGGTTTGAAAATGGAGGTATTGTTGTGGCCAACTTGAGAAGACAAGCTGTCACACACTTCAAAACCTAAAATTTCAAGTTGATTTAATTCTAGGTTCTTCAGACATTTAATATATTTACAATCCACAAAGGGACTTCAGCATCTGATTCTCCACAAAAGCTTATTTTAACATCTACTATTAGTAATCCACTCCTAATTTTAAATACTAAGTCTGTTTGGATAAATCAACTTTGAAAGTATAAATGATAAAATATGCACAAAATTACAAAAAATCAACACATAAGAAAACAATATTAAAAGACTATAACATGAAAAATTAAGAAATTATTAGAAGTAAAAACAAAGTTTTGAATACAGGGATAACTACTGATTAAGAATTACAATCAGAAAGAGCAAGAAATTTGTATTCTAACTAGTACTACTAGAAGTTTGGACTTGAATATAGTGTCAATATAGTGACTTTACTATGATGAGGCCACATGAAGAGGATAGTGCATACAAAATTCTCATAGAGTGTCTAGCACAAAGTTAATTTGGGACCCCAAATTTTTAGTTATATTTACATATTCACTAGGAAGATGGTCTGATACTTTTCAGTTTTTATGCAATATTATGAATTTCTATATATATATATTTGCATCACCTAATCTTTTTTAATTTGTTCTAATTAGTTATACGTGACAATAAAATGCATTTTGATTCATCAACATTAATGGAAGTTCTCTTTCTTTTGGTTGTACATGATGTAGAATCACATTTGTTGTATAGTCATACATGGACATTGGGTAACAATGCTAGATTCACTCTACTATTTTTTCTACCCTTTTACCCACCCTTCCCTTCTCTTCTCTCTACCTAATCCAGAGCAACTCTTTTCTTCCCCCCAGTTGTGAATTAGTATCCACATATCACAGAAAGCAGACAGGCTTTTTTTGTGTGTGTTTGTTTGTTTTTCTTTTTCTATTTTTTTTTTTTTTTGGCGGGGGGGAATCAACAACCAGCAAACCAGGACTATAATTCTTTAAGTAGAAGTACTGGGTTTTAATTTTAATGTCTACATTTGGACTCATGGTTCCTCTTATATTTAATTGGGCTCAATATTAGTACAGAGAGTCAGACTTACATCTTGTCTGTCTTATCAGTGAGGGCCTACCATCTCTAATGAACTCTAGTTGTATTAGTGAAAGTTGTATTTTTGTAAAGCATTAACATAAAATATCATGCAATTTACAAGAAAAATATGAAATGATATTAGCAAGAGTAAAGCCATGTTGACTTTGCATAATAGCTATGATGCATGAAATATAATTTTTATAATCTGAAAACTTTCCTTTAGACTTCAATTTGAAAAAAAATAGGTTGGTGGAATGCTCTTGTAAATCTAATAAAATTTAAAAGGTTTGTATAAGTGAAAGATATGAAATCAACTACTATACCAAGAAGCAAGTAACAGCACCATAGTTACACTGTTGTTCTCATTTTAACCAAGTTTAGTTTTAAAGAAAAATTCAGAATCTATAGTGTAGTTTAATCCTCTAAGCTAACAGTGATAATTTAAACAAAGTTCTACATATTAAACATCCTTAGACTAGTTTCTCTCAATAATAAAACTTTACACAAAAATTATCTGGAAAGATGAGAGCAGATTTACTCCAACATCACCATGTGTATGTGGGGGCAGAAGATCTTTACTCACAGAAGCCACAGGAAGCAGCCAGTGCCCCCATTCCAGAACCTCTCTGATGTCACACTTGTAGTCATGGCACTCTGGGTACAAATCCAGAAGAGCCATCTGGTGGCTCTCATTTATTTGAGAGCAGGCGATGAGCCAAGATGGTCTCAAAGGTTTTCTCACCTTCACCCAAAACTCCAGCCAGATATGGCTGGCTTTTGCCAAGCCTTTTGGCATCGTTTAATGTGGCAGGACTGGCCACTTTGAGTGTCCTCTTTTTCTCCATCCCGTGAGTATCTCATGCAAGCTACTAGATTTCTTACAAAGAGCTAGAAGGGAAAATAGTGATAGTTAAGAGGCAGGAAGTGGAGAAAGAGGATCAGGAAGAGGAAGAAGGATATATAGTCAGAAGCACAGAGATCTAGAGTGCCTGATGCATTTAGGAACTGGTGGGTAATGCTAGTGACATTTGATGGTGTCTTTGGTGTGTTTCTAGCATAGATATTTAAAACTGTCCTTAAGGAGTGTGAGTCCTATCTCAGGTAGGCCAGGCCTCATGGGGCATTCTAGGTTGCCCCAGAGTAGAACTTAGTCTGGCTCTGCTTTCAGCTGCCGAGCCTTGGCCCAGAGTGGAGAATGGGCCCTTCCAGTGGCCACTGGGCTCCTCTGTCTCCTCAGTTTCTACAGCCTCATTTGCATGAACATATCAGACCCAGGCATCTTGCACAGAGGTAAGGCCTTAGAACCTGGAGAGGAGGGGGCAGCCCAAGGGCTGAGGCCTATAGGGGTGATTTCTAAAGTGCTCACCCCACCTAGGGCCTCAGAATCCCTTCTCTCAATGTCATCCTTAATTAGGTGCTGGCAATTTATTTCCCAATCAACTGAGGTGTGATAAAACAGAATCCTGGAGGTTTTCCAGTTGCTTTAGAAGACCTAGCAGGCTGGCAAAAGAGGCCAGGCAGGCTCTTCCAAACCTCGCAATTGATACTCTTTCCCATTTCACAGATGTCTCCAAGCACTGATCACTATTCCAAAGGGTGGAGCTCCATAGAGAGCTCTTCTGGCTGGAAACCCCCTTCTCTCTGACTGCCAGCTCATGTGAGTGGTCAGCTTGCTCAACAGGAACCGGGATTCACCTGCCCAACTCCTCCCCACCCTCTTGCTGTCTTGTGATTTTACTGGGCTGCCCCAAGCAGCAGAGTGCTCAAAGGGTCTCCTACCACTACCCAAACTTCTTCCCATGCCAGGCTCTGTGGAGCAGAACCCAGAGGCATCCTATGTGGCACATTTGAACAACAAATGTTTCCCAATGCCATGGTGTGCCAAATGTCATCTCCACCGCCTGCCCCGAACCTACCACTGTGAAAACTGCAACATCTGTGTGGAGGTGAGTACTCATCCTCCCTGTCCACTCACCAACCCATCCCCAGGCACCTAGCCAGGAGAAGGAACCACCCACCATAAGGGGGCCAGGGGTTGGTATGAGACTATCTTCCCACACTGCTAAAAGTAGGTCTGACACACTGTTGGTCACTTACATATGTCATCGTCTCTGTGTCTGCACCTGTCCTGAGAGACTGGCCTTGCTTGCACAGGTGTGACATGCAAAGGGCATCCCATCCGTGCTGATCTGGTGGAGCCACGTGGAGGAAAGGCAGTGACTGTCCCATCCCCTGCCTTGCTGATATACCCAAATTTTAGGCCTGCTGCTGCCCTGTTCTGGGGATCTTTGCCTATCCCCCTCTGGGTGTCCCAGTTGGAGGGTTTCCTGGGTTCTCAGTGCTTTTCTCTCGTGTGCACACCCTGCATGGGTTTACAAGTGCACAAGGCTGGCTGGGAAAGGCTGTTTCTTTCATCTTCATCCAGTATCTGAGAAAATAGAGGCCCAGATTTATACTACATCCTGTTCCAAGTGACACTGGGCAGGTCTTATCTCTAAAGACCTCAGTCATGACAGGTGACCTGATGAGCCATGGAGTCCTAACTGTTCTCTAGCAATAGAAATGCTACTTTCTCCCTGGAGATGGGAGCTCAAGTGTAGGCCCACGAGCAGGTGGCCTAGAGGGCTAGTTTGTGGGAGGCCTCAGGATTTGGGGGTGCTGGAAGCCAGGCCAGTAGACCCTCAGCGCTGCCTCCTCTCCTCTAGGAATTCGACCACCACTGCAGGTGGATAAACAACTGTGTGGGCCACCGCAACATCAGGCTCTACCTGCTGCTCCTCCTCTCATTGTGCCTCTACCTGGGTGCTGTGCTGGCTGGCTGTGTGGTATTCCTGGTACACAGGAGGCACATACCCTTCATGGACCGAGCCCTGATGTATCCACGCAGTCCCAAGGGCCCACACTGGAACCAGCTCTGGTGGAGGGGAGGGAGGGGTGGTCAGCCAAGGGGCTGGGTAACTGAAGGGGGGGATGACTGGGCGGGGCTATAGGGAGAAGTCAGTTGGGAGGACCGTTGGTGGACCTCTTGAAAGCTAGTGGGGGTGGGGCAGGACATGGCCCGTGGAATTGAGAATCCAGAGTGGGGCGCATGGAGTCGGGGAAGAAGGTTGATCTGGGACAGGAAGGACCACAGTGAAGTGGGTGAGGTTTGGCTTAGGTGTAGTAGACTAATGGTCCAGTCCAGAGAGGAAGAGCTGGTGGGTGGGGACAGTTGGGACCTGAAAAGGAAAGGGGAGGGGTCAATGGAAAGGCGGGGCCAGGGGGGAACTGTCCCCTGGCTTGGCTTCTTAGCCTGTGCACAGCATCATAGTGGCTATACTTCCGCTGGCTTCCTACTGCCACTCATCCTGCAGCTGCTCATCAAGGCCAGGGCAGTGAGCACCGCAAGGCGCCCCTATGAGACCCAGGTAAGGGGACCAAATGTGTGTGCCCTGATACCCAGCTGGCCACCTCTGCCCCTAGGCACTATCTCTGCTTTCTCCACTGCCCTTGGCCCTGATGATGCCCCTGAGTCCTTCCTGACTCACCTCTTAAGATGCAGCTCAGATGTCTCCTCCCCATGGAGCTGGGTGTTCATGCTCCCTCCTGGGTGCATTGCATTGAAAGCCTACTGTGAGCTAGGATGTGTGTTATTTGAGGGATGCAAACAGAGGTGAGTAAGTACTTCATGCCGTCTCGCTGATAAGCAGCTTGCAATCAGAATAACACCAGCTGACACCCAGGAACACTCGAAGAGATGGGGTTGGTCCTGAGTGGTGTAGCAGACAGGAAGAAACTGGGAGTTTGACAAGGCAAGGGCTGTAGGACATGCCACTCTGTGTGACCTTGGATGGTGTGTGCTTTTGGATTGGCAGAAGGCCAGACTGCATTGCCTGTGAGAGACACACCTGTGCACAAAGGCATGGAAACATGGAAGTAGGGTGTGAAAACAACAATGGAGAAAGGGATCTAATTCAAGCACAGGGTGGCAATGAGCAATGAGGTTAACCCCATGGGGTCAAGATTAGAAAGGCCCAGAAACTCAACCCTGGTAATTAGTTTGGATGAAGTGCAAACCTGGGAGAAATGGTAAAATTTCCTCAAAATGTCATGAGGAATAATTTACAAACCATAAAATTTATCCTTTTAGTCTATAGTTCGGGATTTGGACAAATGCATACCATTGAGTACTCTCCACCATGGTCAAGGTTAAACCAGTTTCATTACTCCAGAAAATCCTCTCATCTCTTGTCAATTTCTCTCCCTACATCCTTGTGGGTTTTTGCTTCCCAGAATCATGTATCGGTGCAGTTGTGTGCTTTTTAGTCTGGCTTCATTCATTTAGCACAACACATTTGAGAGTCATCTATGTTGTTGCTCATATCAGTAGTCTGGTTCCTTTTATTTCTGTGTAGTACTGTATGGATGTCTGTTTCCTTTTATTTCTGTGTAGTACTGTATGGGTGCCCTGCTTAGTGTAATACATTTACCATTTGAAGGATTTTTTACATTGTATCTAGTTTGGGGCAGTAGTTTTTCTTTGTGTGTTTCTTTGTTTTTCTACCAGGAATTGAAACCAAGGATGCTTAATCACTGAGCAGCATTCCAAGCCCCCTCTATTTTTTTTCTTTTTGAATTTTTTAAAAACATTTTAAGGCAGGATCTCTAAGTTGCTTAGGGCCTCACTAAATTACAGGTGCTAGCTTTAGTCATCCTGTCTCAACCTCCCAAGACCCTGAATGTACAGTTTTGGACAACTGTGCCAGATAGTTTGGGGCAGTTCTCAAGAAAGATGCTACAAACTTTGGTGTACAGGCATCTGAACACAAGTTTCCATTTCTGTTCGGAAAAGTTTTAGGGGTGGGTATTGTGAGTTACAAAGTAAACGTAGGTGGAACAACATAAAAGAAACCACCTTATCATTCCTTCTTTCTACCAGCAATGCATGAGGATTCCAGTTGCTAAACTTCCTCACCAACATTTAACACTGTCATTTGTCGGTATTTTGTTTTATTTTCAAATTGTAGCCTGTCCATTCCATGAGTAGTGGTATCTCATTAGGGCTCCAGTCTGTGTTTTCCTAGTGAGTAATGATGATGAGCATATTATCATGTCTTATCAGCCACCAAATGGGTTCTCTATAGTATATTAGGATCCACATTTTGTACATATTCTCTTGCGATTTGTGGTTTCTCATTTCATTTTCTTCATAGTATCATCCAAAGAGCAGGAGTTTTAGTAGTGTTGTTTTTCCAGTAATGGGTATTGAATCAGGGGTGCTCCACCACTGAGTTTCTCCCCCAGTATTACTTGTTGTTTCTCACTCTACATGGAAAATATGTCATCTACAAAAAACAGTTTCATTACTTTCTTTCCAATCTATGGGTCTTTATTGCTTTTCACTTGGGGGTTGAACAGGAATGAGAAGGGTTGTCATGACGGCCTCATGACTCCTTTAGTATGACAACACCTCCTATAAAGGCTCCTTCAGGAAGACTGGTGGGCAGTACCAATGTGGGAGGGGAAAGCTGCAGACCCAGGGACAGCTGAGAAGACAGAGGAGCCTGTGTGCTCAGCATTTCCCATCCTTAGTCACCCTTTCACCACAGCCATATCTGGTCCCCTCCCCCTGTGACTCCTCTGCTTAGCCCTTACTCCTCAGCCCTGTGGCCTGCCCTCCTCCTACTCTCTCCAGCTTCAGTTCATCATTTAGTTTGCCTGGAAGCATTTTCC